AAAAAAGAAAAAAAAAATTCTGTGTCAATTCTTTCATAATTTTGACAATTAATTCCAACAATTTAATGGCTAATTTCTAATGTAAATTAATTTCAAAAATTACAATATGTAAATTAATTTCTTGTGTATATTTATGTACTTTTTAATATAAATTTATGTATAAAAAATATATTTTTTTATTTATCAAATTTAACAATATACTATATAGAAAACGTTTAAAACTTTGGCTTTTTATATAGGTAATGTGATCTTAAATTAAAAAATCACAAAGAGAAGTTTTAATAAAATTAAAATGAAGTAAACATGAAAAAAATGACGTGAGACATCTAAAGAATGATTTTAGAGTTTTTAAGACTGTTAAAACACTAACATCTCATAGGGAAAATTTTGATTTTTAATGTTTTCAAAACCAATTTACCTATCACCCTTTAATGCAATTAAAATAATTTGTGTTGGACAAAGTAACACTCCTAGTCAAGACTCTCGAAATAAAACCTTACTCCATCACAAATTGTAATCCAGAAAAACATAATTACATCACCATGAAAAATATGTGAAAGCTAAAAATCACAGTAAATCGACAAATCAAGTGATACACAAATACAATCAACCATCAATTATTCTCTTCTTCTGATTAAAGGTTCTAATGAAATCAACAGAAAGATGCATTCCAACACCTTTATTGAGATGATGCAGATGTCTCGGTAGAAACAAGGCATAGTATAACTTGTGATCAATAGGTTTTTACAAACGTATTTGATGCAAAAAAGATGAGCAAATCATTTTTTTTAGAAAACCGTAGTGAATACTGATAAAGACATATAAGTTAAGGATTTGTGTCAAATAATATGTTTTTTCATATGATGTAACGGTTTTTTTCATAAAACATTGTATATGAACAACAATTTATTCCAAATGCTTAATCTTCTAACTTAGATAATTATTTACTATAAACATCAAAATCATATCACATTAAATACACATGATCAATACACTAAAAATTATTGCATATTTTACCATGTTAATTTTCAAATCCACGCAACGAGTGGACAAATTTTAGTATGCAAATATGATTAGCTTACAAATTAAATATGAAACGCAAAAAAAAAGAAAAAAAGCAAGAACGAGTTTTATATAATCGTTATAATAATATATTTTAGGGGTTATTAACAAACACTCCATAAGTTTTATTTTGATAAAATACACTAATTTTAAAAATAGGATTATGTATTGGATTAATCTTAAATAATAAATTTTGACCAATCCTTAATGAGTTTCATGCTCATACACATAGTGATTCTACCCACGTTAAAGAACCCACGTTATTGGGGCTTGAATTTCCGAAAAAAGAAGAAACAAACAAATAAGTGAATGATCCTTTTGATTCCTTGGTTTGGTTCCAAAAGTTTCCAGTCAAAGAGTCTTGTTGTTGACTTTTTGACTGTTTCATGTTCCAAAGTCCCTCTCTCTCTCGAGAGAAGAAGAATAATTAGACAAGAAATCTAAAAGAATTCAGACAAGAAAAATATCACAGAGACTGAATCTCATTATTTTCAGACAAGAAGAATATCACACATAAAAAACATCTTTTTTTTATCTGAAAAATGCAGAAGATTACTCTAAATATTCAATGAAAGAATTAATAATATAACATCTCTTTTTCTGTTTCACTTTAACCCAAAAAAATATAGTAAGTAAAAATAGACAACACCTTCTTCTTCTTTCTCTTCCTCTATATCTACAAAATATAACACCACCTTCTTCCCAAAAAGGTGGACAAACAAATCTATGACACATTCCTCTTTACTTACCCTTATGTGGAAAAAAGCTTATGTATCATCAAATCTTTGATCAATCAAAGACAGTCCAAACCGCAGATCTCAAGTATAGGACCGCCTTTCGCGACAAATGGATTGACTCGGACCCAAAGAAGCGTAAGGATAGAGGCGAGAAGGATCGACCAGACAACAATGATTGTAGGCATTCTGTCTTGTTTCCCAAGCAGACCTTTAAGGAAAGGATAAAGATGGAGGATGACCCAAAGAGCAAAGAACAATCTTCCAAACAACGGTCCCCACGAGTCATATCCGTTACTTATGGCATCAGAGATTCCAACGACGACTCCAATCACGTTGATGATGAGGAGTGTGGTCGGAGGGATCAAGAGACTGGTCCATTTGAAGAGGTAGAGGTCAGAGAATTCACCATCGTCTGCTGCTTTAGATGTGACTGTGAAGTTTGTGTCGACTCCAGCTAAAACCTTGAGGAGACCTTGGAAGAGAGCAAAGAGATGAGCCGAAACACCTCCAATCACCCAAAACTGTTCGTTTCTCCACCAATCATCGATCCCGACTTTACCCCATTGCATCTCAAGAATGCCCGTAGCAGCAATCGACGCGAAAAGGGCCATGAAGAGGATACTTGCATAATTGCTAATCTGCAAAAGAGAACACACAACAATCCTTAA